ACAAAGAGGAGTGAATGTATGTCCCTGCTCCATCTCTGCACTCCGTTGCTTTGAAAACCTTCTGTTGTCTGTGCGGGTTGGTTGCATTATTAATAATGTTTGTTTATGGGCCTTCACCTGGCAGGAGCAGATCTGAACTGTGTGCACAGCTGAAGTGTGGCATTGCGCCATGGAACTCTGCCGTATCCCGCTCATCTGTTGGCAAGAAGCAGTATGATGCTTTCTGCCTGCTGTCTCTCTCAGTAATAGCCATATCTCCTTCAAGGAATTGTTCCCTCTTTGCAGATACTTGTATTTGCATAGCCCCAAAAGTTTTGTGTAAGGGATTGCCTATTTAATACAATTGAAAGGATCCCAAACCCATGCTTTAGATTAACATGTGCCAGCTAGATTAGGGCTAATCAGGGTCCAGGTTTTAGCAGATGCAGTGCAGGGACAATCCTAGACCTGATTACGGTGTATCTGCCGTTTAATCGTATCTCTCCCAAGGGTGATCATCTCTGCTTTAATGCACAGCAGACTTTACAGCCATCGCCTGTCTCCTTCCTTGGTTTACTGCCACTACTGTCAAAAAGGCTTCTACCTCAGAGGCTGTGGCAATTTAGTTTAATCCCACATAGAAGGGCGCCTCTCTCTCATGGATAATTCCCTGCTCTAAGGTATTGCTGTGTCGGAGGCGGGGCTGGGCTTGACTACACCCCTGATACCAGGAATCCATCCTTCCCAGAGAGACTGAGCCCATTCAGTCTCCCCCTCTCAGTAAAGACCCTTTCTCTGGCTGGCAACGGCTGGATCCTAGTGTGCGCCGATGCTCCCCTTTGTACATCGCAGGGGGGTCAAGCTTTGTAACCTTGCGTGTTCCCTGGCCAATAAGAGAGAGTCAGTCCCTTGCATTGTGCGAAGTCTTTGGAATGTCACTCCTAAGTAGGCCAGGAGACCCATTCGGCCAGTGTGGCACAATGAGAACTTTTAGGACCAGTAAGTCTAGCTGCCTGGAGTGGAGATCTGCCAGCTTCTTGTGTGTCTGGTAGGTGCTCGGGTTCCATGCTAGCCTAAGGCCAAGCTTCCGGGTTGCTGCCTGCCTCCTCTACAAACTGAAGTCTGCAAGGTTTTCTTGACTAGTCCATCTAAGACTTTTTTTTCTTTTTTTTTTACGGGGGTGGTGCTGTTGGTTACAGTAGGGCCCTGGGAAGCAGATCTCTTCTCTCTATTCCGGATCCTGCCAGTGACTCGCTGTGTGACCTTGGGGCAGGTACTTAACCCCTCTGGATCTTGGTACCATCTGTAAAGTGGGCAGACGAATACCTACTTCCTAGGGGGTTTGTGAGTCTTAATTGTTTGCAGTATGTGTTGAGATCTGCAGATGAAAGGGGCTAGCACAGTGCAAAGTATTACTGAACTCTGTGCCCTCTCAAACTCTGGGGTACCCTCCTGGCCAGCATGATTAAGACACAAGCTTTTCTGTCTGCACAAAAAGTGACCCGAGGACACGGAAACACATTCTGCTGCCTCCTGTCATTAAATAGTGTCCTCTGGGGATAGGGGTCCTGACCTCGGCTAGTGAAATCTGAGTCAAATTGCCCAAACAGGATAGTGGTTTGACAGTAGACTCCTCTGTCTGGAAAACCTGGATCAAAGATCCAGCTATCCAGAATGATTTGAACTTGGTCTGCGTAAGGGACAATTCTGCACTAGCCAGGGGCATCGACTAGATGATCTAATAAGTCATTTCCTTTGCTAATTTCTAGGATTCCGTAGTCTAGCCAAAATTGCTACAGCTTTCCCTTGCTCTGCCCTGCATCCAAGTGCATGTACCACAGTGTTACTGGAAGGCAAGAGGCTGCACCTTTGTTGCAATTATTGTACGTCACTTAATTGCCCAACTGTACAGAAACCTCTGGGGCCTTAATACGTTTTCTTATTGTCCAAGCAGTAAACTAACCTGAATTTGTCATACCACATCACAGGATTATTCCGATAGCACCAGAAGTGAGCGTGAAGCTTTACAGACACATAATTGGACCTTAAACCGTAGCAGTGTAAATGATCATGAGAGCAGGAGTCGATAGCTAAAAGAAGAAAAGCTGATAGGAAGAAATTAGGTTTATTTCAGAGAGGCTGGTGGCAGTTCTAGGGATAAAGGGGCAGGCTGACTGGTGCTCTGGGAACAAATGATGGTTGTATAGTGAATCAGGCTGTTGTCTGTAAGACTCCTGCCTTTCTCTTTGTGGAAGTTGGAAGGTGTGTAGTGAATGAAGCAGGGGACTGCAGGAAGAGAAAGGATGATCTCATGGTGAAGGCAGTTGATGGTTGCCCCTAGAGAACTGGACTCTCTCTGGGCCTCTGCTGCACAGTTCCTGGGCAAATCACTTAAACAGAACTTGTCATAAAGCAGCCACTAATTGCGTGTGCCTCGTTTTCTGAGTGCCCGATGTGAGACCTTGGGAGCCAGATTTAGAGGGATGCTGTGTACGCACACCTGCTATTGAAGTTGATTGAAGCGAGCTGTGCTTTTAAGATAGAAATATAAAATTGCTAATTATTCTGAAAAATCAGGCCCGAGACGTCTAAAGTCAGAGACCCAAAATAGGGGCGACCTTTGATAATTTTGGCCTTAATCATTCAGTTTCACATCTGTGAAATGGGGATACCACCACCTTACCACAGGTACCTCATTAATGTGTGAGAAGCACTCAGCCATCATGGTGAAAGTGCCGTAGAAACGCCATGAGTAGATGAATAATTTTGTATTCAGAGCAGGGTTTGAATGGCGTGCCTTAAACAAAACCTCAGGCAACACACTGAATGTGGAAGATAAAAGGGATGTTGAATAACTATCCATTCACTGACGGAAGCAGGAGTCCCGTGGAAAAAATAGTACATGATTATGTAATTGAAGACTGTATCATAATGCATATGGATAAGAGAGCTGAATTCATGCTGCACGGGCCCAAAGATGTGTCCACAAACTGAGTTACTGGCTGATTTCTGTGACCTTGTCCAGCTTTAATCCAGACTGTTCCTCTCTCTTCTCGCCTTCGCTCATGTTAAGTCCAAATTCAGTACTAGGAACCTTGTCCAGTCTGATCCATGAGGCAGCTTGGGACACAACACAGATAACAGATTTTTTTTTTTTCCCATGAACATATTCCTTAACATCTGAATGAAAACAGCTTTGCTCTCGTGGCTGGGTGGGGCTGGAGAATTTACAAGCAGTCTGGAATCCTTGTACTAAAGTGAGAGGCTCAGGGGAGAAACTGACCAGCCCGGTCTCATTTTCTCAGCTGAGCGAAATGCAGACAGTTAACACACAGCCTCAACTGGGAAATAAATTGCACTGTTTAAAATTGGTTTGGGTTTAACAATGACAAGGTGTTTGGTTACTGCCAAAGTCACTTTCCAGCTGCTCTAAACGGGTCTCCCCATCCCTTCCTGAATCCTATACTAGCCTTCCCCTCTTCCCCTCCAGGGCCCCCACTTCCACTTTCCCTTCTCTAATATGTCCCTTCCACTCTTGCTCTGGCCAGTCCCTGATCCTGTCCAGTTCCTAGGTCCCCATCACTTACTCTTGCTTTTATGCCTTTGCATACTGATATGTGAACCAGCCTCCCAGTCAGTATACACAGAGCTCCCGTGCGCCTTGAAACCAGCCTGTTCTTCAACGCATTCCAACTCCAATCACTCACCTTTCTTGCAGTGTAGCACTGTGGGCCCTTAGAGCCTTTGTTTCATGGCCACACCTTCTCCCCGTGTATGCCACCATGTACCCATTGGAATACCTCCTCTGGAATATGTGTACAGTTCTGTACCCCATATTCAAGAAAGATGAATTCAAACTGGAACCGGCACAGAGAAGAGCTACTAACACGATCAGGAGAAGGAAGGGCCTATCTTAAGAGAAGAAACTGGAAGAGCATGGCTTATTTAGCCTAGCAAAATGAAGGCTGAGAGCGGATCTGAATACTTGCTCCAAATTTGTTAGGGGTTAAACACCAGGGAGGGTGAACCGCTAGTTAAGCTAAAGGACAGTGGTTGGCACCAAAACAAATGGGCATAAATTGGCCATGAACAGACTCAGGCCAGAAATTAGAAGAAGGTTTCTAATCAGCAGAGGAATGAGGTTTTAGAACAACCTCCCAATAGCAATTGTGGGAGAAACAATTCGTTTTGAGAGAGAGCTGGACAAATTTATGAGTGGGATTGTATGACAGGATAGCTTATGATGGTTGGGGGCAGGGCTCAGCAGCCTGTGGGGTCCCTTTCAGTGCATGTCTTTTATGTTCCTAGAGCTCATCTGGTCACCTGTGCGGGTGAGGAAGGGATATCTTTCCTCTCCTCCCCGCATGTATTCTGTGGTTGGGTGGGTTTTTTTGTTTTGTCTTTTTGTCTCCTTCCTCTGAAGCACCAGGGGTGTGCATGGCTGGAGATGGGACACTGCACAGGGAGGGTCAATGCTCTGAGACGGCACCAAGCAGTCTCTCTCTCACATTCTTAGCCACCTGGTTCTTGCTTATGTACCCAGGGTCTCACTGATCACCATATGTGGGGGTCAGGAAGGAATTTCCCCCCAGGTCAGATTGGCAGTGACCAGGTGTGAGTTTTACCTTCTTCTGTGGCTTGGAGTGTGGGTCACATGCCAGGATCATCAGGGTATTTCTGCCATTGCAGGGGCCGTGGGCACTGGTGCACCTCGGTCCTTCCTGTTCTCTGCCTGTGGCACACAGTAGTTTAGTCTCCTGTGGGCTGTAATACTTTGATCTAATTTTGGGGTTAGTGTCTGGGTGCTGAGTGGTGCTGGTGGCCTGTGATAGCCAAGAGATCTCACTAAATGATCTGGTCCCTTCTGGCCTTAAACTGTATGATTCTGATTTGGAGCTATGTAAATAATAGCAACACACGCATGATAAAAGATGTATCAAAACATGCTTGAGTCCTTTGATTTGTCCAGTTGAAATGACTGAACTATCTGCAAATCCCATCGCCTACTTTTGTCTCCGCAGGGCTCGTCCAGATCCCCGTCAGCATGTACCAGACGGTGGTAACCAGCCTTGCCCAGGGGAATGGTCCTGTTCAGGTCGCCATGGCTCCCGTTACTACGAGGATAGCAGACAGTGCCGTCACCATGGATGGTCAGGCAGTGGAGGTTGTGACCTTGGAACAGTGATGCCGCTGCCCCGGCAGGATCATGATGATGTTTTTCCTCGTCTCTTACGTGAATAATTTTTTTACGCCTCTTCAGAGATGCAATCAGGTGGTATTGAGTCTCTCCGCTTTGGAAGCAAAGGTTTCGTTAACCTTTTTTTAAAAGGAAAAACAAAATAGCAGAGGATGTGTTAAGTGCATTTTTATAGTGCCGCGCTGATCTTGCGGGAGTGGAAAGCCAATTGGTAATGGACTTTCATTCTGAGGAGATTGAAATCAAAACACACACACCCCCCCAAACCCCCGCATGAAATCTCTCTCCTTAGAATCAGGGCAAGATGGGAAGATTGCCACCCCCTGTAGGAAGCGGCTGTGCCCTTGACTGGAGACCGTTCCAACAGCGCTGATGCCCGCTAAACCGGCAGCGAGTTCTGTGGTGGCTCCTGGGGTCGGCCCCTCTGCCCCGTCGCTTTGAGAATTAGGTTTCAAAAGAGAGCGAGAGAGCGCGTTTGGAAAAAGTCTCTCCTCGGGGAAGGCGCAGGCATGATTGTGTAGGGGCAGCAGTAGCTTTTTGAAGGGATAAAGCTCCTCAGAGGACAGCAATTGATTACCCCGCAGTCCCCGTAAGAGAGGAAAACTCTGCCGTTGAAGTTCTTAAGTTGAAGTTTCCATGGAGAGTTCCACCCATGCCCCTGCCTTGCTCTCCTGTAATCCACGCTCAAGACCTGCCCTTATCTTCTCTGCTATGGAAATGGAGCTGACATTTTAGACCTTTCTCTTTATTCTTTCATGTTTGTAAATTTAGACTGCAGTGGCGACTCTCTTGGGGGGCTTTGGCTGGGGTGCTGAGGAAGGGGAAGGCTGTTAAGAAAGTGAGGAGTTACTGACTAGGGCAAATTCTTCCTTCCCCTGCATCTCCCCAGGACTCGTTTTATACCTGAATCTTATTCAGCCCCGTTGCTGAGAGATACATTGAGTTCACCTGAGCTATGTCTGTCACTGGTATTATCAGAGCTGTGATAGGACTGTATGAAACAGACGTCCCCTATCACAGCCTCTACCCATCCTGGAATATCCAATCCCCACAGTATTTCCTTGTTCAATAAATATGAGGGTCAAACCGACTCCTCCCATAGCCCCCTGACCCAGTTCGCGTTCCCCAGGTCATGCACCTGTTTCTGCTGTATGTGCATCTCCAGCACGGCTTTGCTGCTGCTAGTTTTTTAATCTACTTCATGTGAAAACCTCTAGACAGAAAAACGCCTGGTGTGTTTTCAGTGGCTGATTTTACTTTGACTTTCCAATGGGCCAAACCTTTGCTTCCCAAAACCAACAAACACTGCCCCTCCCCCAGGCAAGCTCCTCCCTCCTTTTAGCCACACCCGCCTTCGGTGTGTGCAATTGTGCATGGTATTTAATTTTTTTTATTTTAAGTGGCCATTTAACAAAATTCTCCACGTCTTGCTCCACCTTCGAGAAAGTTTTCAGATTCTTGTATTTACTTGTTTTATATGAAAATATCAAATGTTCTTTGTATATGTTTTTCTGTACTTTAAGGAGGGGAGGGAAACATTTCCGTAGAAACAGCCCTGCTTTTCCGATTTATTTTTTTTAACTATTATTATTTTTTATTGTCGTTGTGAAGATGTCCAGTGGCTTTAAAGTCAGTGTTTCTTTGGCGATGAAATAACGTTCTTACAGTCTAAGACATTCTCCCCAGAAAAAGGAAAGAAAACCAAACAGTCAAGTAGCAGAGCATGGAATACCTGTTGTTTTCCCATTCTGTCTATTATTGCCTCATTCAATAAATTGTTACAAATGTGTCTGCACCTGGAGTCTCTCAGTTTGTAGGTCTTTGCATAGTTTTGGTAAATGGAGGGAAGATGTTTTTAAAAGGGAGACTATCAGGTGGTAAATGTATAGTAACTTTTTTTGTTGTTGCTTACATGTTGCTAATATCTTAGGGCCTTTCCCTGCAGACATCTACACACACCTGAGTAACTTGACTCAGGTGCGTAATCCCATTGACTCCAATAAAACTATTCAACTGAGTAAAGCTGTGTGTGGCCATAAGAGTCTGCATGATCCAGGCCTTAGATTATTAAGTGAACATTTTTTAAAACTCACTTGTTTACTCTTTGCACATCACTCAGCTTGAACAATGAATTTAGGCAAATGGGTCTCACTTTTTCGTTCATAGTCCCCTTCAGGTTCTAGACCCATGCGCTAGCCTACGGAAATGATGTTGGGAACTTGAAAGATGACATTCTTCTTTGTTGTTCAATGTCATGCTAGGGCTTTGGCTGAGGGGCACTTTTTGGAGGAGATGTTAAACCCAAGGCCCTGATCCTGCCTGATCGTTAAAGATCCCACAGCACTTTTTTGCAAGATCATGGAGTTGGCCCTAGTGATTAGTTAGTTAATATTTATAATGTACTCGCCGATTAAAATGATAAGTGCTAAGTATCAATTAGTGCTTTTGTCCTGGCCAAATTCCAGTTGGAATCATTACGTGTTTCCTACCCAGATTTGATCTGCCGTCTCAGTTGTGTACTTGATTCAGACTAAATGTGGAAATTCTTTAGATGCTCAAAAAAATATATAGCATGAAATAGATTCCTGTTCGTGTTTTAAATGTGAGCTTGATCAGAAACGATTAAGAAGGGGAGGGGAAAATAACTTGCACACTGACTCAACCCAGAAACGTGGTCCAGGAAGCTTTATTTGAATATTGTTTGTAAAAGTATTAATGTATTTGTATTACAGTAACATGTAGAGATCGGAGCCTCATTGTTCTAGGCTCAATATAAACACACAGTGAGAGACAGCCCCTGCCCTGAAGCACTTCCAATCTAAATATACTGAGGGCTTAGGCCACTGAACTGCCTTGTCTATGTCCTATTGCCAAAATATTTGCTAAATCTTTCAACGGATCCAGCCATGCTGCCTTGGCCTGTGATTTTGTCATATCCCCCATGCTCAGGAGAGTCCACTCTGGTCAATATTGGGATGAGAGGCTCCTAGGGAAAACTAAAGCGGCCCTGGTCATTCAGCAAGTGACACACTTTCCTTTGGGCTGTTGACAATCCAATACCCCAGCATGGCATTTGTGGTGCTGAACTGGCAGAGAGGATGTTAGACCAAGGTTCTGACCACTTCTGGTCACTGTTAGCCCTGATGTTTTGGGCATATTCATAACCCTAGACTATACCTTTCTGCTTCTGTAAATTCCCTCCCGTAGTTTTATTTCAGGTGGTATTCTTCCCTTTCTGTCCAAAACTCTTCTGTAATGTTGAAGAACTGCCAAGTTCTACCCCAGAGATAGGTGCTCACAGGATAATGCAGCTATAGGATAACAAGGGCTAGCTCTTCTCTCAAATAGTGCAGATCCAAGCAGGAGGGAGAGCTAACGCACAAGTATTGAGTACACATGTACACACGTGAGAGGGGAAGCACATGGGTTACCCTGGTTTTCCTCCTTTTTGATCTGATGATAAAATGTAGCAAGCCAGGATCCCAGCCAGAAGCTGAGCTGCAACAGAGCGCATCTCGCCCCTTCTTTCACCTGCACCCCAAAACCCACTCCTCAGGTCCTGTCACCTCAGCCTCCAGGGAGAACCCATTTGCCCCATTCCAACCAGTGTGACTTGCTCAGACGAGATGATGCCCTTTCTCACAGTGCATAGCCTTGCTGTTTCCTCCCATTCCCCAGGACCACTAAGGCTGCTTGCCAGCTGTAAAGAATGTTAAATTCTGTGTACAGTTTCTTCCAGATTCTGCTGAGGGATTGGAAAATCTGCACAGATATCTGCCCCCCTACAAAGCCCTTAAGAGAGAACTGATTAATGGCTGCTATCCTTTCGAGAATCTTTCTCATAAACGTTTCTTTCACCCACTTCTCTCTCCCTTTTTTAAATTCCTTCTCCGCCAGCCAGAGATCTCCCATTCCCCTGGAGTCGTCATCTCTCTCTCCCAGCACGAGATCAGACATGTGACCGAGCACTGAGTTATCTGCCTTTTTAAAGCCTCTCCACAGCCTGGGCCGTCAGCAGCATTTGAACCCGGGGCCTTCAGTTCTCAAAGTCTGAACCTCCGTCACTTGAGCTAAAGGAGTAACGCCGCTCAGTGTCGTAGAATCTTCTCCGACGGGGACCTGCCATGAGGGGGCAACAAAGCTTTCCTAGTGCAGGTTGTCCTGCGTTCTTAGTTCTCTGGTGCCTCCTTTCAGGTGATTCTAGCTGCAGGGGATAAGGCACAGGAGCTGACGGTTGCTATTCTGTAAACACGCCCCCTCCCCTGCACTGGCCCTCGCCAACCCCACACTGAGAAATGTTTCTTCTTCCCAAGGCGGAGCACGCCCCTACTAAACACACAAGCGATACATAGAAGATGGATCTATTAACGCCTGTTGGTGCCTCTCCATCTCTGCTCCCCTGCAAAAATACCACTGGCCTTAAGCCTATGGCTGCAGTGAGTTCCTAGAGTTCCATCCAACACGACCACTTTGTCCTGCGCAGAAGCAGCCTGTACGAAAAAGAAACATGTGCAAGGCTTTGTTGCTATAGCTGGAGGGAGCAGGCAGGGGGAGAGGGCTAAATCACCTGTTGACTTGGGAATGAGATGCTGAAGCCATGAGAGAGACAGCTGGGAGGGTTACTGGGACTGGGAGGTGCTGGCCGGCTAGAGGAGCGTGCCTGGCATCTGCCAGCCACGAGCGGGGAGAAAGCTGCTCACTCCCCCTTTCCTTCCTTCCTTCCTCGTTTAGGAGTCAGGCCCTGGCAGGGGGAAGGTTAATGGGGAGCGGCTCAGGTGGAACAATGGAGACAGACCTGTCCCATGGGCTGTCGCTGAGGAGGCTGGAGGGCAGGTTATCCCCCCCTTCCCCGCCCCGAGCATGTGGGCCTGTTGCCTGTCGCCCACCATTGCTACGAGCAGGCCAGGCGAGGCGAGGCAGCTGGTGTTTGCAGCCTCCCCCAGGTCACAGGGCAGAGCCCTCCGCTCATCACATTGTGCAATTAGCCGCTGGGAAAATGGGACCATATGGGAGCAACTTCAGGGCCATACCCCTGTGCGGGCTTCCCCAGCTCCAGTGGGAAGATGAACTTGGGATCCAGGGGGAAAGAGGTAGGCAGGCACCAATCTGGGATTCACCGGTGCAATGATGCAGCGATCGGGCTGGGGCAGAATGGGAGGCCGGGTAGGTTTACGCATGTGCTATGATGCAGCCAAAGGAACTGGAGCAGAAACGGGAGGGCAGCTGTGAGATTTGCACGCTGGGATGCAGCCAATGGAGCTGGCTGCGCAATAGGGCACTGACCATGTAAATGAAGCCCTGGCTCTGGGACTGGCTCTGGGCTGTGGAGCCTTTCAGCTCCGTTAGGGGCTGGCCGTGAGCCTGGGTGAGATGAGTTGGGTGGGTCTCAGTCTAACGGCTGGAGGAGAGGCACCCATTACCAAAATTACCAGAACCATTGGGGCTCCTTGCTGGCAGTGAAACCAAAGACTGAACTGGTCCCTGTAACCTGAACTGGGCTCAGTGGCTCCCTGTCATCTCTGGCTGCAGCATTTGCAGAGCCCTGTTCACGGTCACCCAGTGACTTCTTTGCCAGAGACAGGGACAGTGGAACGGAGCATAGTGGGCTGTGCGCAAGGACATTGCAGAGCAATAAGTCAAACACGCCTAAGCCCACGACTGCTCCTGCCCCATCAAGTGTTGTCTGCTGTCTTAGCAGCTGTGGGTGTGATCCTGTTGGCTTTATTAAGCTAAGCAGGGTCAGGTCAGACCTGGATAAGCGGCCTACATGGACCGTGGTGTTGGAGCGCCTGTCTGTGAACTGCACCAAGTTACCCACAATGAAACCAGAGCAGCGCGATGGCGAAGGCCTGCCCAGCTGTCGTGTTGCTCTGCTTCGTTGACCGGCATCTACGTCCCCGCTCCAGGGCCAGAGGAGGGGATGCTGTTCAGTGCCTCGGGCACCTTGGCTGCAAGGTGAGACAGAAATGTGAGATGCTCGACCACATAATGAGCCTATGTTCTCGCCTGGATTTCGTGGGCCTCATCCCAGTGCAAAGCAGGAGTAACTCCATGATGCCACCTCAGCGGAGAGCTGCTGGGAACGGAAACCTGGGCTCTGTGTTTTCCTGCAGATAAAGCCACATCGCTCTGTGCCATCTGGATGTTGCGGTGGGCGGCTGAATCCACTGCAGGGTCAGTGACAACTGCTAGAAAATTGATTTTAAAGCTAGGCCTAGCTTCGGGGACATAAATACTCTGCCGGACCCCCAGGGAGTCCATGGGTCACATGCTGTTGAATTCCCAGTCAGGCCCACTCATGCCACTTGCTTTGGTTAATCAGGGTTTGGGCTGCGCTATTTTAAAAATCTAGTTAACGAGCTGCACATTCAGCCAGAGTGACAAGGTCACCAGGCTGCTTAGATCTTCTCCAGCACCTTCTGTGCTACCAAGCATTTGGGGTGGGGGGCTGTACGTTGAGCCCCATTGTGCAGGTGCACGGGAAGGTTAAGGTCACAGCTGAAGTTAGGGTTGCCAACTTTCTAATTGCACAAAACCAAACACCCCTGCCCCACCCCTTCTCACTCCATCCCCTCTCCCCCACCCTCACTCACTTTCACCGGGTTGCGGTCGGGGTGCAGGAGGAGAGTGAGGACTCCGGCTGAGGGTGGGGCTGGGGATGAGGGGTTTGGGGTGCGGGAGAGGGCTCTGGGGTGGGGCAGGGGGTTGGGTTGGGGGGGGGGGCTGGGCTCTGGGCTGGGGGTGCGGGCTCTGGGCTGGGGCCAGAAATGAGGGGTTCAGGGTGCAGGAGAGGGC